CATTGGGCAGCTTACATTAAATGTTTGTTACCACACATGACCAGCCAATACTGACACAAAGTACTGACATTTGCGCACTCTCACCTTCTTGTATTCCTGATAGAGAGCTCATGCAGTAGTTAGGAGCAAAGACGCCAATGGCTTAGAGAGAAACAAACGAAGAGCTTTTAAAAACAGAAACTCCATTCTGAGATAGGAAAATTACAATGGTGCTAATATAAATTGGTTTCATTCTAGAGGACTGCTGAGAGAGTACTGGTGGGAAGTGAAGAGGTGGGGAAAAAATCCCTAAGACCAAGGGCAAGATGGATGGATGGTATCCTTGAAGTGACTGGCTTGGGCTTTAAGGAGCTGGGGGTGGTGATGGCTAACAGGGAGCTCTGGTGTGGGCTGGTCCATGAGGTCACGAAGAATCAGAAGTGACTGAATAAATAAACAACAACAAAGAGTATCGGTTTACATCACACAAGCATCAGGATCGATTGACATAGGATTTTATCACACAAAGGAGGCACACAGGCATTGCAGCTGGGTAGTTTCTATCCTATGTCACTGAGTGCATCCCACTACCAATGTGCTTTACCCACCTTCATAATTAGCTATTATCAAGTTAAATCCATCAATAACTCCTAATTCCACAACATTCCCATCATCTACCTTGGTGCAATGGATGCCTTCTGTGTCTATGCCAGCATGCCAGGGGTGGGATTCTCTCTTCTCTTTGCCATTCCTAAAATGTCTGTATTCCCTTTATTTTATATTAGCCTTTTTGTTTTAATTGCACAATTACACCAAAAATAACAACAATTAACCATTTAAGGAACTGCAGTGATGTAGCAAGACAAGGTTATGAGGATATGAAGAAGTATAATCATAGAACCACAGAAATGGCAAACTGGCACAATTGCTTACAGTATATATCCACTATCTACACTAATGCAACTGTAGTGGAATAGTGGGTTGGTATGATAAACTTCATAGAGGTATGACACTTTGAGTCAATCAAACTATCAAACCCTGTTACTACTGCCCACTCTTGGCATTCTTCACTCTTTAGTGCTAAGTGTTGTTACATTTCTAACTACTATACAGAGACAGACAGATAAACCAAAGACTTTCACAATATGCATAATGAATCTTGGCTAATATATTCTCACCACAGCCTGCCTAAATGCACAAACATCTTAACACATTATCTCTCAGGACTCCACATTAAAAATACACATGTGCTTCTAACTCTGCAATAGTAGCTCATGCAATTGACCTACCCTGCATGGCATTCCAAATTGTATGTTCTTTGCCATAACAAGTCCCCCCTCCAAAAAGACCCAAACACTCTGAGGGCTAAACCAATATTCTCACTCTACTCAGCAAGTTTGCTGGCAAGTCTACTGGACTTTTTCCATTAAAAATCACATCCAGAAAAACAGTGGTCTCAAAAATGTGGTGGATCATATGTTCTTCAGATTGGAGAAATAGTTGTCTTTGGTATAAGGAAGATGATGGTCAATCATATCTGAGAGAACAGACCTGATATAAATTATGTCTGTGTTGATAGGAGGCCTACATCTTCAAATGAATGGGGAGGTGACCTCATTTCAGAAGCTCTAGTTCCTAAAAGTTGTCTGTCTGGATATATATAGAAGACATACATAACTCTTTGCCAAATTTGCAAATGAAACACAGTCTATAGAAGTTGAAATAAGGGCTTCTCTCCATCAAGGGAATTGTCAGATGCCACAATCTGGTGGTGGGTAGTTGGGCTTGAAGCCCAAAATAGTAAAGCCTAACTTTCTCCTTTCTTCTTCCACTCCATCTCCCTCCTCCTCTTGATCTCTCAGGCTGCTGGGGTATTACATCATGAGAGGAGGGCTCCTGGAATTGGGCCAAGAGTTGCTTCAGATTGGCAAAGGAAAACACGCAGCCTGAGGGGTACAGACTGCTTACACCTGGACTAAATTATACTCCTGTTTGTATTTCCTGATTTGCTTAAAGAGTCGGAGTCATTTCACATGAACAATCCTAGAGTTAAGATTTCGCTTTATCCTGGTTCCATCTATGGAATACTGGGATGTGCAGTTTAGCAAAGGCTGAATTCTCAGGGCACTTCCACACAGCCATATAACCCAGAATATCAAGGAAGAAAATCCCATAATATCTGCTTTGAACTGAGCTATCTGAGTCCACACTGACATATATTCCAGTTCAAAGCAGATAATGTGGGATTTTATTCAGCTGTGTGAAGGGGGCCTCAGAGAACTAGAGTTTCACTAAACTGCAAACCTTACTTTACATGGCATGTAAGTAGTAGAATCATAATGCTGTATCTGTATCTGAAGCCTTCTGTATCATGGTACTTCATGCATCAGTCTACCTTACAGGGAATCTATGTGAAGCATTTTTAATGTCCTGTAAAAATGTCAAATGCCAACTGACTGTGAAAGGGAGGTATGAACAATCTGGAATACTTAAGACATGGCTGATTTGGTCTGTTAGTTCAATATATTGGTTTTGGCCTGAACGTAACCATCACTAATCTGAAAAGGGGAACTGAAGATCAGTAGGATTCTATGGGAAGATGCATAAAAGTGGATGTGTAAAAAGTAGTTTGGTTCACCCCTTCCCTGCTGGCATCCGCATTTGTCCCACAGCCGCTGACTAGAACAAGAGGGCATGCATGACTGATGCCAGAGCAAAACACTTTTGTGTGCAATTCTTCAGAGAAATTGTTCAAGAACACTTCAGCCATGGAAGCTGATTACCTCTAATTCTTCAAGGTCGGTGTCGGCATAGGTTATCTGCCAAGTAATTGTCAGTCAGTTATGCTGAAAAGGACTGGGGTCATTTTAAAGATCAATAGAAAACACAAACATTTTGTGTCATTCTCTAGGCTTTTTGTATGACAGTATTACAAAATTGCTACTTTGACAAAACACATTAGGAAAATGTACTATGCTGTCATTTTAACCACTGAGGGAGCCAAGTGGAAAGCAAAATTATGTGGCAAGCACTAGATTATTACTGCCAACTTGGGGGAAGAGGGAGTTTGTACCCGCTTGATCCTGTAAAAACAGGCCTGGGCGCTCACTCATTTTTTTAAAAAAACCTGGCACTTCTTAAAACAAAAGAAATATTTCAGCCAATTACAGCTACTAAGCCTGTGCCTCTTAAGTTCTGGGCACCATGCTACCTCCAAACCTCAGGCTGGCTGCACACCCCAATGATGTCAAGGGAGCTGAGCAAGACAATCTGCAGATGGTGAGGCCAGGCACCACATTTGAGGGGAAGGGATGGCACTATGATTCCAGCACCCAACTACTTATTTTTATGCATTTGTTAAAATGACCTTTGAAGTACCATGACAGAAACTTAAATCAGACAATGCAGCTAAAATAGCTTAAATTTTATTAAAGCAAAGTCCAGGAAAAGGGTATGAAGGCACCTATATTTATTATTTATTTATTTTAAAGTTTTGTATAGCGACCTTCTCACCTCTCTTGAGGGACTATAGTCCCTCCTGAAAAGGTTGCCAGTGTAGTGTAGGATGCTCAGCCATAAGCAGTTTCTCAAATCGCTCCTGACACACACAAAAAATTCATGAGGTTTTTCTTTCCACTTCATCACACTAGAGAATGAATCCACTTTAAATCCGGTCTCTGCCTCCTACAGAATTCTGGGGTTTGTAGTTTAGTGAGGCTGTCAAAGTGTCCTCCTTAAACTACAAAACCCAAAATTCTGCAGGAGGCAACAACCGGATTTAAAGTGGATTTATTCTCTAGTGTGATGAGGTCCAATGCTACACAAAAATGAATCCTATATAAAGATATCCAGCAAAAGCAAAAAAAAATAACTAGTAGTCATTTGTTTCTCTAGAAAGATTATGCTAGGTAAATATTTTATACAAGAAAAGTTTGCTGCTATTGTCTCCCTCACCCCCGCCACCATGAGAAATATTTGGCAGGACTCATTGCTTCTGCCAGGTTGCGCAGATGTTACAAGAGAGAGATGTGAGCTACAAGCCAGCTTCCATCTCAAGAGACAGTTACCTAGATAATGCAATAAAACGTATGCGGTTAAAAAAAAACAATGGATTTACAATGAAATAGTAACACTCACAGAAAAAGAAATAACAACACTTTCTGAAATTAGTAAATTGCATTTTTAAGTGCTAGGATTATGTAGATTTATGCAGCCCTTTCATTACAGTGCCTGCATTGAATATTTTATTTTCTTTTGCAACTAGGGAATCCTCAAGTTCTCAAATGGGAGCACTCTTTCAGATTGCAGGGTTAATTTTATTCATCACTGACAGCTCAAGTCTGAACCCCCAATATAGAAAAAATATTTCTGGTTAACTAAAGATGGTATGCACTCCATAAACACTGCTGCTGCTTGTTTTCCATCTGTTTCAGATGGAATTAAATGCACAATTGGAATAAAATAATGATATGTAACACCAGTGTAGTATAGGGGACAATGAAGCTGGAGACCTGAAGCAGGTTGAATCCCCACTTGGCCATGAAACCCACTAGATGACTTTGAGCAACTCACCCCCTCTCACCCTCAGAGAATGGCAAAGGCAACCTCTTTCTGAATAAATCTTGCTGAACCATTATAGGATCACATTAGAATCACTATAAGTCAGAAACGACTTGAAAGCACAATAACAACAAATGTAAAACCAGCATTCATTGGATAGTTCTTTGCAGTTATTTGACTGTACCATAGTTTTCTGTTTGCTAACTTATTTTTCCCAATTCTCTTTTGAAACTCTTTCATCCTGAACACAGTGTAGGGAAAGCCAGTTATCTAATTTACTGTGTGCTTGGTTGCTTTTTCTGTTAATTTCTCTACATGACCACTTGCCCTGTTTATACAAACTGTGTTAGAAAACTCTGTTAATACCACTCTGTTAATGCAAAGACATGCCTTGTTTGCTTATTAATTTTTGCTTTGAAAAACTGGACACTTAGTTAAGTGGTGCTCCTGGGTACACTTACTTGTAAGTAAGTCCTGTAGAAAACAGTGGCTCTTACTTCCAATCAAATGCTGCTGTTAGACTGAAAAGTTCCTTCATTTGCTGTTTGCTTTTTCCAAATCCCAAAGCCATGGGTTGATATTGATTCACTCTGTTTATCTTGTCCACATAGTCAGGGAGGAATGTAGTGTACAATTGATGGATCTTGCTTCAATTACTCATGTCCCAATTACATCCAGGTTACATGTTACCATACATTTAAAATGTAGTGCTGAAGGAGAGTTCTGAAAATGGCATGGGCAGTCAAAAAGACAAATACAAGTAAATGGGTCCTAGAGCAAATCAAGTCTGGCTTCTTCCTAGAAGCCAAGATGGCTAAACTTAGCCATATTTTATTTATTATTATTTGTTTGGGTTGTTGGCTATATAGCTATATAGCTAAGTTCTAGAAGCATTCTCTCCTGATGTTTCGCCTGCATCTATGGCAGGCATCTTCAGGTAGCAACCTCTGAGGATGCCTGCCATAGATGCAGGCAAAACGTCAGAAGATAATGCTTCTAGAATATAGACATGTAGCCCGAAGAGCCTACAAAAACTCAGTGATTCCAGCCATGAAAGCCTTCGACAATATTATTTATTTGTTGAAGTTGTAACCCACCCTTCTCCCAAAATGGAATTCAAGATGGCATATTGTTTATCATATACTTCAGACATAGGAGAAGAAATGATTCTTTAGAAAAGACAACGATGCTTGGTAAGGTAGAAGGCTGTACACGTGGATAGACTCAATCAAGGAAACTGTGGCTCCGAGTTTGCAAAATCCAAGCAGGGTTGTTGATAACAAGGGTGACTTCGGTGTCTCTCATTTGCCATGTCAGAGTTTACTTGAGAGCATTTAACAGTAACACCACATTGTATATGGGGCTGCCTTTGAGGGCAGCTTTACAGTTCACTTGATAAAATACTACGTCTTCATGAAAGCTAAGCATTCGAAACATACATAGAATTTTAGAGTAGAAGATGCCACAAGGACAATTTAGTCCAATGCACAGTAATGCAGGAATATACAATTAAAGCACTCCTGAAAGATGACTATCCCATTTCTGTTTAAAGACAAGCAAAGATGAAGAGTCTACCATCCTTCATAATAAAATGTTCCACTGTTGAACAAATTATATTGTAAAAAGTTGTTTCTAATGTTTAGTAGAATTCATTGGTTCATGTTCCGCTTTCTAGACCAACAGAAAACAAGCTTGGGCTATCTTCTACATGACATCCTTTCAGATATTGAAAGTCTACAGCTTCCTAAGTTGTTCCTCAAAAGGTTTGGATTTAAAAATGTTGACTATCTTGGTTGCCTGTCTCAGGACATATTTTGATTTGTTGATATACTTCTTGAACTGTGATTCCCTGAATTGACGACAATATTTTATTAGAGGTTTAAGCAAAGCAGAACAGAGTGATATCAAAACTTCTTTTGATTAGGACACTATGCTCCAGTTGATACATGACAATTCTGGATCAGATGAACCTTTGGGTTCCAGTCAAATTCTTAACTACTTTGGATCCAGGTTATCTTTTCCAATATGAACTGGGCTATAAAATGGAGATTTTGTTCATAGGTCCACCATTAATATCAGGTTAATCATCACAAAAAAAGGCCTTCTGAGTAAAAGGTTCAAAAGCAGGTATAGATAGATAGAGATAGATAAATAGATAATAAATATTTTAAGTAGTTCACAATATTCTCTATAAGCCACTTTGAGAAAGTTTCTTTTGAAAACAATTTTTTTTTGGGGGGGGGGATATTATTTAAATACATATAGTCATATCCTCTGTTTAGATACATATAATTTTACACAGTATGACCGGAGCTTGGGAAACGTATCTTCGGGGCTACAACTCTCACAGATTCCCACAGCCATATTTTAGGAGTCATAATCCTCCAAAAGTAACTTCTTCCAGTTATGGATATAATTCATTTCCTCTTAAGTCATTTTGATACATTTGTCTAAACATGAGGGACTTCTACATTTCTCTATATTGGGAAACACCAGAAGAATGACAAATTGTAAAGAAACAAGAATGTTCATGGAGAGAATATGAAATGCCTAAAACAGACTGCAAAGCACTCAATATTATTGCCAGAGTTAAAAAGAAACACTTTCATAAAACCTTCATCTTCTTGAACATTACCAAAAATGGCATCCTGCTTTCATCAAAGTGTTAGCAATGCAAGATTTAAAAGATTCCTATTCATATGCATCAGGCACAATTGGTTTATTGTTCCAAGAAGACAACAAATACCATATGGCCACATACAAATAAAGGCACTATAAAAAAAATCAACAAGAGTATGGTATGCAAGTCATTTTCTTTATCAGGAATCTCATATTGCTCCTAATCCACAAACAGAAAAATACAGTTATTGTTGTGTGCCTTCAAGTCATTTGCAACTTACGGTGACCTTAAGGCAAACCTAACATGGGGTTTTCTTGTCATGATTTGGGCATTATTTTCTTCTCAGGCTGAGAGTGTGACTTGCCCATACTTGACTTCTATGGCTGAGTGGGAATTCAAACCCTGGTCTCCAGAGTCATGGTCCAATACTCAATGCACTACACCAGGCTGGGTATTAGAATGTCTCAACAGGTATCACTACAATTCAATAAATCACAAAGATTTACACTCTGGTTCTTTTCCATTTGAAGTATTTGTTTCTTTATATATAGAAGTTATGAACCATCTGTCTTCCAAGAAGGCAAATATGCCTGCTTACTACCCTGCTTTATATTCACAACATTTACAGTCTGTTGAGCCACCAGCACACTTTAGCAGAGAATACCAAAGACGTAAAACAGCAGCTCCCATGATTCCATAACATCAATCCATGGCAATCAAAGTGGCATCACACTGTATTAATTATATAGTGTAGATGCACCTTTTGTGCCCTGCTAGGCAGCCAATGGAGCCCTTAGTGGTGCAGTGGGTTAAACTGCTGAGCTGCTGAATTTGCTGACCAAAAGGTCAGCGTTTCGAATCCAGGGAGTGGGGTGAGCTCCCGCTGTTAGCTCCAGCTTCTGCCAACCTTTCAGTTCGAAAACATACAAATGTGAGTAGATCAATAGGTACCACTTTGCATTTTTTTGTGAGTTGGATTTTCTCTCCTCCCTGGAAAAGCAATGAGAGAAGGAAGGTCTGAAGAAAAAGAACCTCACTGGAAAAGATCGCACCTCCATTCAACACATCAGCAGGGCTGCCCAGGAAGCAACTGAGATCTTTACTCCTGCCTCTATCAGAAAATCCCAGAAGATAAAATATTCCCTTTTTGTCCTGGGTTTAAAAAGTCATAATTTATCCCAGAAATGTACACCAGGATGGAAGGCACATTATTTGGATATTGAAAAAACTTTGATACCTATAGGTATATCTCCTGTCTAAGCCTCTTGTTGCAAATCCCAATTCCTTTCCCTTGCAATAGTTTAACATGAATATCTCTTTCATGACTGTTTTTAATAAATACACTAAAGATTTGGTCTCCATGATATGCCAAAGCTGGACAAGGCTGGGGGTTTTATTGCCCCATACATCTGTTCTGTTTTCCCTTTTGTATCTGTTTTCTTTAAAAGGAAGCCAACAGAGTAAATCAGTTAAGAAAGCACCCTAAACCTAGAAAACCGGGACTTGAAAACAAAGTCGATGTCCTTGGCTTCATTTGGAAGGAGACAAATATTCATAATGGTGTGGCCTGAACAGAGATAGCCCCGCTGCATTAATCAACCAGTGGCAGTCTACCCCTGAGAACTGGCATCTCATGAGCGATTGCCTTAACTGAAAATCATGGCGCTAGAAGGAGGATGGCAGTGCAAAAGTGACCTATTATAATTGAGCATCTATAGTGAATGAGATTGTGTAGCTCACTGAAAAGAACACTTCCTCAACTTTGAAGGAAGAAAAGTTTAAAAGCAGTGAATTAAATAATCTTAGCAGCAATGTTAGATAGGCCGCACCCAGAGTAGAAAATTCTTCACCCCCGTGCTTGTTATCTATGAGATGTGGTGCCAATCAATGTGAATGGCTATATGCTAAAATGTGTCATATAAAAGAATCACCAAAAGTAGTATGAAAGGCCAGACCAGGGGTAGACTATTGCAGACCTTCAGGTGTTGCTGGACTACAAGTCCCAGCATTCTTCACCATTGCTTATTCCAGCTCAGGCTTCTGGGAGTTAAAGTTCAGCAGGAGTTGCCAGCTGGTGCTCGTGTGTCAACAACCACTTTATACTGTTCCAAGAAAAAAATCCCATTTATATTTTAAAAGGAGTAAAACATATATAAAGTTTTATAAGCAAAGAAGGAAAAAAGAATGTAGACTGTGCATTAGAGTTATGTGCAGAACCCTTTTCCTTCCTTTTATCCATTCTTTCATTACTTTTGTACCTTCAGGAGCAAGTAATGGGAAGATCCTTCCTGGTACGAAAACCAGCTTGGCATGAAAGCAAGCAGGAACCGATCCCGGCTTCTCGCCTGCTTTTTGTGAGCACATGGAGCTCCGTGCCGCCTTGCCTTGGAAAAGGGTGTGTGTGTGTGGTGCGGTGCATGTGTTTGCCTGCAGCTGAACACCTCCTCTAGCATAAGAATGAGGACTTGCCTGTTGCCTCCTTGCCTTGGAAAGAGAGTGCATACATATGTGGTGTGCAGGCTCAGAAAGCTCACACATTTGCCTGCAGCTGGGCACCTCCTCTAGAGTAAGAATGAGAACTTGCCTCCTTGCCTTGGAAAGAGAGTGTGTGCATGTGTGCAGTACAGGCTCGGAAAGTGTCCATGCCTGCCTGCAGCTGAGCACCTCTCCTCTGGAGTAGAAACAGGTAAGAAGTCTCCTTAAAGCATGCAACTGCTGCAGCTGAGTGCCTCTCCCCTAGAGTAAAACAGCTTCAATGCCTAAAAAGACACACACACACACACCCATGATGGGCCAATAGAAAATGGATCTTTTGACACCCCAGAGTGAAAACAAATATCTGCTCTCCTAAATTCGGGAGACTCCCAAAAAACATATCAGTGTCCCCACCAAAAGCCAGGACATGAAA